CAAGAAAGAAAAGATTGTAGTTAGTTCAAGGATTGCTGGCCTTTAGGAGTGTTTTCCAGTCCAGTCTGTTGAAGCACCACGCGCTGGCCCCAAAATCCACCCTCATCATACCCTGGGGACCTTACTGCTGTTCCGCTGCACTCCCCCAGTGCTTTGCCTCAGTGTGGCGGGATCAGATCAGGTGCAATTCCCACACTGTGTCTCTGGTGTTGTCCCCCGCAGTGGTCTCATCTATGTACACACTTGTACCTACCCACGTACCAATATGCCTGTACTTATCCATCTGTGCTCAAACACTTGCTTTGACTTTGGTTTTCTGTCTGTGGAGTAAGCATTAGACTGTCAGCCACTACTGCTCCTCCAGAGAAAGATGGGGCTTTGTGCTCCTGTAAAGACTTACAGCCTTCCTTGTAAATCCTGTTTAGGGCTTCTAGGAGTCAGAATCAATTCAATGGCAGTAGGTTTGGTGACTTTGGGGCTGTGCTCACTACATCCATCCTCGGTGCCATTTTTCCTGTCACCAAAGTAATGAAGCCTCTACAATATAAACTCCACTTTTTGCTCTCCCTTCCTCTCCCCAGGAACCATTAAGGAACACGGGCCTTTCTCTCGATATTGATTCTCATCTTCATCTAAAAGAGGACTCATATACATATAATGCTTGTCCTTCTATGGCTGACTTGTTCACTTAGCACAATTGGGTAGAATCCTCAGAGACACAGTGGCCAGGTCCTTGTCTCATGGAGCTACTATGCCGGTTCATGGTTCACAGCTGGTGCTGAACTGTTGCACCCCTAGGCCATTCCATTAGCCCGCCCCTTCTTGCTCATAAAATAAAATGGTGGATTTGTGGAAGGAAAGGATCTTAAGAACACTCTTCCAGAAAATTTATTGTAATAAAATCTTGATAGCTGTAATCTTTGACTTAATCTAGAGCCATGTGAATGAATGCCTCCTTTTTTTTTTTTAATCATTTCAGATACGAATCGGCAATGAGAAGTATATTCACATAAAGATGTTCAAAAGTCTGCCTGGAGAACATCAGTATTTGACACTCACTGGTTACCAGACTGGCAAAAGCAAGGACGATGAGATCGTGGGCTTCTTTTAGTGACCTGATTCTTTCCACTGGATGAATGGTGCCTGATAATAAACAGAACATTCAGAAAGCAAGCATTGCTTCACAAATAAATTGATTTCTTTAACTACTTCTCATTTATAATTAATACTCATGGTCATTTCATGGAAATCAATGCTACTAATTTACTATAGATGTTCTGTAAAAATTGTTGTCGGTTGGAAATCTTATGAAAATTAGCAAGGCCTAGATCAGGTGTAAGGCATCATCAGAACAAAAAATCTTACCATAGTGAATGA